AGAGAAAAGCTGGAAGTGGCGCTGTGGCTCAAGTGGTAGAGCGCTAGCCTTGAGCTGAAGAGCTGAGGGACAGCGCCCAGGCCCAGAGTTCAGGCCCCCACGACTGGACCCAAAAAAAAAAAAAAAAGTTCAAATGTACATAGCATCAGCAAAGAAAAATTATTGACTGATGGAAGGAGTTGTACTTATACAAAAACCAAATTAAAATGCATTGTACTTCATATAAAGATTTGGAGGATATGTGTAAATTATGCGTCATTTGTAAGAGGGACGTAAGCATCATTGGATTTTGGTACTCATGGGAGGTACAACTGTCTTTAATTCTACTAGCTCTGTGACTAGAAGGGAGAACAAGTGTTTAGTTCCAAAGGACTCAAAAAGATCCCATTCTAGTAATGTACCTTAAAAGCAGCTGTTTTTGTTACAGCAAGAGGCCAAACATACCAATGGTTAAATAAGCTGTTTCTCTTTACTGTTTATTATTAATGTACAAAATATACAAAACCAAAAGAAAAAAATACTCATCCCAAATCCATTGTGGTTCTAACCCAAGACCCTGCACAAACCCAACCAATTCACTGTTTTCATAGAAAACAACTGATGCCAAGACAGGTGAAGAGGACTGGGAAGGGGCAAAATCATCTTAAACCCATCCAGGGAGCAACTGGTGGGGATTCAGAGGTGGCTGGCAGGGTGAGGTTGTTGAAAACCTCACACTGACAAGGTTCCAAATGAGGGCAAGGAGCAAGTGAACTCCCAAAGGCAGTGCATGTAGTGTGACTCGTCAGGCCCAGCATGCCAGGCTTAAATAGATGAAAAGCTGGTCTCGAGTGTTTTAGGAAGTCTCTAGAATGGTTGTAAGCAAGGGTAGACCAACACCGCTGGCTTTCCGCCAGCATTTTAAAACCTTCACTGGACACAGACATGAATTTGCCATCATTGAACCTAGCAGATCCATAATGCAGATTTGGGTGTTGACAGGTTGCAGTCTTGTACTTGAAAAAGGACTCAAAAAAGCCTGTTGTCATAACAGGAGTGGGGATGATGTGTGTTCCAGAACTCAATTCCAGCCCGCTTGAGCCCTCTCAGTGCAGTGGGATGTACAATACCCCTTACCATCTCCCTACCCCATGAGAAATAATGAACTTGGCTGGATGGTTCCTTAAGTGCAGCTGACCCCATGTCTGAATTGTGTGTGCATGTGGAGGACCACAACAGGAGAGCAGAGGTTCTCCAGTATAACCAGCTTTAGGTTCTCAGGCATTAGGGCTAATACTGGAAAGAGGTTGGGGACACAGGGTAAATCTCCTCATAAAGTGAAGCCAACTGGGTCTCCTCTTCAGCAGTCCAGGGTACAGAATGTGTCCAGTCTCTCTCCTCCTCAGACTGGAGGAAAATATGTACACATCGATGCGCACCAGTGATCAAAACCCCCCACGGAACCCAAACAGGTGGGAACTGGGGGCCGGCTCCTCATCAGCTGGGGGAAAGGGGAAATGGGCCTCACAGAAGCCATAACAAGTGGTAGGAGCAAGGCTGTAGTCCACACAAGGGTGTGGGTGGGGGCGGGGAGGCGGTCCCTAGGGCAAGGGGGGCCCGTTGACACCCGGATGGTAGAAGGCACAGTTGTTCTCATAGCGGCAGTTGCCCTTCATCATGAAATGTCGGCAGACAGGGCGGTTTGACATGTCTGTGGGAGTGATGGCAGAATGGTTAGATAGGAAATGGCCAAGAGGCCCGCACTACCCTCACCACCCTGGTGTAGGCCATCCTGACAGCGGCCTCCAGTGATGGATTATCTCGTGTGTAGGATGTAGGAACTGCCATGCACACAGGAGTCAAGGAGACCAGGAAAGCTCAGGTGTTCTGCCTCCCAACTCCCCAGAAACTTCTACAGTACCAAATGTCATCCTCACCTCCTCCATGACTGTGGCCTCCATCATGCCCTCGGTGGCCCCCTCCCCCGTGGCCAGGGCCATCATGGCCACGGTGCTCATGAGGGGGCCCTCGATGATCATGGCCTCGGTGACCAGGGCCATCATGTGGCCTATGGCCATGGGGTCCCCCGTGTCCAGGGCCTTCATGGGGGCGATGTCCACTGCCACCCATGCTCCCACCAGGGCCTTCGTGAGAACGATGTCCACTGCCCATTCCCCCGCCAGGGCCTTCATGGGGGCGATGTCCACTGCCCATTCCTCCTCCGGGGCCTTCGTGAGAACGATGTCCACTGCTACCACCCATGCCACCACCAGGGCCTTCATGGGGACGATGTCCACTGCCACCGCTCATGCCACCACCGGGGCCTTCATGGGGGCGATGCCCACCACCTCCAACCATGCCTCCACCAGGGCCTCCTCGTCCGTTTGGGGGTCCTCCTCCAGAGCGACCTCCTCTGGCTCCTCGGAACGGAGGAGGGGGAGGTGGCTCGTTCCCTCCTCGGCCACCTCGGCCTCTATGGTATGGTCCAGGACCAGGTCCTGGACCCCCTCGCATTGGACCACCCCGCATGGGATCACCTGGGCCATCCCAGAAGGGATCACCCCCACGGGGAGGGGGTGGGGGACCCAGGAGACGGGGACCCACTGGTCCACCAGGGCCTCCATGGGGACCTGTTAGGGAGAAAAAGAAAAGACAATCAGTTCTCTTTTACAGTCATGAGTGCCAGCTTAAACTACCTCTTATCTTTTGCTTCTCCTATACTATTACAGGCTGAAACTGCAGCTAAGCCCGCTCTAAGTGCCCATTCACCACCTACCTGGCATAGGTCCTCCAGGCCCAGGGGGGAAGTGTTGCATGCCTTTGGGGCCCCCAGGGCCTCCTGGTGGAAAGCCATTGGCAATTGGACCGGGACCCAGGAGTCCATGTGGCACTGTTAATGAAAAGGAGGTCAGTGAGAGGATTCTACAAGACTGGTATGGCTTCCCATACAGTGTACACAACTGACCCTCTCAGACCAACCTGGCAAAATTAGGTTCCCTCTGTCCAGTCTTCCCTCCCATTTGTTGCCTATGCTGTTCAGCAGCTGTGAAACCCGGCTTCCCCCAACCTCTCAGCTGGCTTCCTCCCCGGGGCCCCTGGGGCCAGCCCTGAAGATTACCCAGCATCTGCTTGATCTTGTCTGAATAGTCTGGTTGTTTCAGCAGTTCCTCCGAAGGGTGGCTGTTTGGGCTGCCCTGTGTGGAGATAGGAGGACAGAGTGAATAAAGAGTGAGGATAACAATCAGGAACAAAAGAAAACCAAAATGAGGCAATGGGAAGACTCAAAAGAACTGGGTTAAGCCAAGTGTGGGGCGCACACCTGTAATCCCAGTACTCAGGAGGCTGAGATAGGAGGATTACAATTTCCAGGCCAGCTTGGTAACACGAGATTCTGTCATGAACAAAACATAGCAACGAAAAACTGAGGTAAAACAAAACATACAAACAAAAAAAACTTGGGTAAAACAACAAAACATGCAAATAATAAACTTGAGTAAAACAAGATATACAAACAAATCAAAAGAGAACTCTTAAGGAGATTCCACAGAAAGCAGAAAAGGGAAAGGAAGGAGAGAGCGTACCATGATGGAGGTGAGGATTTCCTGGACATTGATGCCTCCTCCTCCAGGGCCCTGGGGACTCTTCCCAGCACCCATGCTTCCCATAAGATTGGCCAGAACTGGAGGCAGCTTCGAACCCCCTGCCCCATCAGGTGAGCCACCCGACCCGCCGGGCTCCAGGGTCTCAACATATGGAGTCTCATCCATAGAACACTCCTAGGAACAGAAGAAACATCAAGACCAATGAAAAGACTGCAGATATCCTCACATGAGAAATGCACAAAACTTGGCCCATTGGCACCCATCATCACTACACACATTGACTTACCTCATCTAGGGGGATGAGTTTAGGGGGGATGGGCTCATAGGGTTCAGGATCAGGCTCATGAGGACTATCAGGAATATTGCAGGTGACGAGAAAGAGAAAAAGAAAAGAAAAAAAAAAAGATTTACTCAGGTGGCCCTTAAAGTTCTCTCTTAATTCCCAGTGTCAGGTTCCCCTCAGGAGTACAAGGACACAAACACCTCTGGCTCACCTCTCCTTGTTCAGGAAGAGCTCCTGAAGGATTCCCTTCTCCCGCTCAGCCTGGATGTATCGCTCCTGGCTGTTGCTACCAGGAGTGACTAGAGGTGAGGGGAGAACCAAAGGCCGAGGGCACACCCAGGGCACCTTCTCCTCCATGTTGTCATGGCTCAGACGCCGGGCTGTCTCAAATGCATGGCGGTCTGACAGTATCTCTCGTTTAGCTGCCTCACCAAAGTCCTTGATCTTGTTCACATTAACTTGACAGAGGGAAAAAGAGCAAAGGAGGGAAAGTAAGCCTAACCAAGTCCTTCTGGAACTCTTAATACATACCTATTGTGCAGGAAACTTGGCCTCTTACCTCGTTCAGTTTCATCCAGTTCAAAGTAGAAATACTCTCTCAGCTTGCCTTCCTCAGGCCATGTCACAGTTTTCCTCTTCCTGCCCTTTCGGGTCAGCTGGCTAGGATCCCCAGGGCTCTCCACTGGCTTTGCATCCAGAGCTCCAGTCTCTGAAGAGGCTGGAAAACAAGAGAGTTTTTAGACCCAGCTCCTGCCTTCCAGAAAAGCTACACAGTCCCTCAGGCTTCAGGTTACCTGTATCCATGAGCTCCGGGACTTCCACAGGCGGCACTGGAGTGCCAGGGCGGTCTGTGTCCATTGACTCAGAAGGTGGTGCTGGCTCTGGGGAAGAAGGTTTGGCTGCGCTTGGTTCAGTGCTTGTTTTCCCTTCAAAAGGGCTGGGCTATTATGAAAGAGAAAAAAATGAATGAACTGTAAGGAAGCCAAGGTCAAGGAAGGGCAATTCAATTCAATGATTGTTAGAAAGGGATGCCTGATTCTAACAGTTGCACCCCTTAGTTTAAACAAAAGACCAAACTCTGCTGTGATGCCCAACAATTCCTTGCCACTTTGCCCTATTTTTCTTATTCTAAGACCCCATACCTTGGCAGCAGTAGGTGACAGAACTTTCTTCTTCTTCTTAATTTTGATGCCTGGGACAGGGGCTGAATTGAGAGCATCCAGAAAGCCCAGACCTTCCATAGCTACAAAAGCAAAACACACAGAAAGGAATCTCAGACCTCCTTCTAATCACATTCCTACAAAGTCTAGGTAGAAACTAAACAGTGGACATTGCCTAAACTTAGGACACAGAAAGCCCAAGATGAAAAAAGCTCACACAAGAAATTCCTATTTTCTATATATAAATACATATATATATATTTTTTGGGGGGGGGTCCGGTCATGGGGCTTGAACTGTGGGCCTGGGTGCTGTCCCTCAGCTCTTCAGCTCAAGGTGAGGGCTCCACCACTTGAGCCACAGCGCCACTTCCAGTTTATTGGTAGTTAATTGGAAATAAAGAATCTCAGAGACTTTCCTGCCTGGGCTGGCTTTGAAACACAATCCTCAGATCTCAGCCTCCTGAGGAGCTGGGATTACAGGCTTGAGCCACTAGTGGCTGGCTATCACTATTTCACTTCTCTTTTAGCAGGCAAACCAACAATTTAGACAGGAATTAAGATGGGGCCATTGAGGCAAAAAACTAAAAGGATGCCAAGAAATCAAGTGAAGGAAAATAATAATAAAAGAAGGAAAACCAATTTTCTCCTCCCAGAAGAGCTTGCTACCAACTGGAAGTATAACCCCATTTTAGACTCACGCTGAGGTGGGATGATCTTCACTTTGATCTCTTTGGTGGCATTGGGTGTTGTGTTGAGGGGCTTATATTTCTTCTCTGCAGGGGGAGCAGTGTCTCCTGGAGCAGCCACGGTGCTGAGAAAAGAGGAACAGTCACTACCACCTCTGGGTTTGCCCCTTTTTTTCTCCCATGTGCCCACACGTCAACAACTTCAGAAATCGACAATGATGTTTATACCTTTGGCGCTTGAGGGGGATGGGCTTAAGATTGTATTTGTCAGACACCATGACTGGAGTGGCATTCTTCTTAACAGGCACCAAAGATGGTGTCTCCAGCTCTAGTCCTGGGAAGAAAATACAGGTTTGTAGTTCAACTCACCCCTAATCATGACTATTCCTCCCTGTTCAGCCCCCCTCCCCCAATACACAGATACAGCTTCTCCATTAGACTCCCACCCCCCTTTTTTTTTTTTGTCAGGCATGGGGCCTGAACTCTGGGCCTGGGCACTGTCCCTCAGCTCTTTAGGTCAAGGCTAGTGTTCTACCACTTGAGCCATAATGCCACTTCTGGCCTTTTCTGCTTACGTGGTGTTGAGGAATTGAACCCAAGGCCTCATATATGCAAGGCAAGCACTCTACCACTGAGCTACTTTCCCAGCCCCTACACTTCCTTCTTTCACATGGAAATTTGACACTGCAAATCAAAATATTCAAAGCTTGAGGCACTGGCTGCCCATGTGCCTGCCCCGCTTCAAGGCCAGCCAGCAGCCTTACCAGTGGAACGGAATTTGGCATGACTGGGTGCTGTGGTTCGAAGAGACTTGGGCTTCTCTTTCTTTTTCTCTGGAGCTTCCTCAGCCCGGGTCTCAGTTTTCACCTCAATTAAAGGTCGCTCAGGAGGAGTGGTTCGACCCTTACTCTCTTCTTTCCGTTTCTTCTTATCTTTCTCTGTCATAGAAATTCAGAATGGAAAAGGATTTCATTTAGTTCAAGTACAGCTAACTAGGGACACCCAAAGAACTAAATACCAGGGATAAAGGACTAAGGAGCTTACCAGCAGGCTGGGTGCTACTCTGGGAGCGGATGACAGCCATCCAATCACTGACAAGGACTGAGGCCAATTTCCGGAGCTCTATAGGTGAGAAAACCAAAGAATAAATAATTTAGTAATAATTTCACAATCTTTCAGGAAACAAAATGGGATGCTTGAAAAATATACTGGGAAATCTGTGTAATAAAAAAAAAAAAACACAAAAAGTTTTAAGAACCTGAGACATACTTAAAATCAGACTCTTAGCTGAAAGTGCTGGGTACCAGGGGCTCACACCTGAAATCCTAGCTCCTCATGGGGCTTAGATGAGGCTTGAAGCTCAAAGCCAGGATGAGTAGAAAAGTCTGTGAGACTGTTATCTCCAATTAACCACCAAAAAGCCAAAATGGAACTGTGGCTCAAGTGGTAAGAGCACTAGTCTTGAGCAAAAAGGCTCAGGGATAGTCCCTAGGTCTCGAGTTCAAGCTCCAGAATGAGAAGCAGCGCGCACGCACACACACACACACGCACACACGCACACGCACACACACACACACACACACACACAATGGAGATAAGCCCGTTACAGGGAGAAGGACTCCTACCTTCATCCTCACTTGACTTGCTCAGCTGCTTTACCAGTTTGGCTGTGTTGTTCTACAAGAGATGGGAGCAACAAAAAAATAAATGCAAGGAGAAAAATAAACCCACTTAGGTAAGTATACCCACAAACTTACAACCTCTCAGTAATCCCCCATAATGGTGACTAAAACTGACAAAAATCTTTGTAGATACATGAGACTTTTTTGTAGTACTAGGGTTTGAATAGAAGCATCTTGCTAGGCAGGTGTTCTACCACTTGAGCCATGCTTCTAATTTTTACTTAATCCTTCGAATGATCCATTATAAAATGGGAGCAATTATGCTCCCATTTTATAAATGAAAAAAACCTGAGGCTCTGTTATAAAAAGTGACCCAAGTCACAAATTTATTAGAGGAGATAAATTCAAACCAAGTCTTCTAAATCTAAATTCTTGTTTGCTTGGGTTTTTTTCCCTAATCATTCTACCTTACAGAGGTAGGCAGACTGCCCCACATTAGAGTTGGTGTGCGTTTTTCACACCAACTAACTCAAAAAAAGAATTAAGGTTGTGCAGCATGCCAAAGGCTCTGGCCTGTAATCTATCTATCAGAAGGCTGAGATCTGAGGATCATGGTTTGAAGCCAGCCCAGCAAGAAAGTCTGTGAGACTTGTATCTCCGATTAACCACCAAAAAAGCTGGGAACAGAACTGTGGTTCAAATTGTAGAGCACTAGGCCTTAGGCACTAGAGACAGAACCCAGGCCTTTAGAGTTTAAGCTCCAGAACCAGCACATGCATGCACACAAGCCCTCACACACACAAAATGAAGGTACCTGCTTGAGATGGTCCACAGTGAGGGGTAGGTGTTGCAGGGTCAGTAGAATTTGCTGAAGGAGAGGAATGTTGTTGGTTGTCTTTGAATATGTCAGCCAATTGTTCAAAAGCTTATAGCCACCAACATCAATAAATCTGAAAGAAGATAGGAGCAGAATCTTGGGTTTTGGAAATATTATTTTCTACATGCGTGGTCCCCTACTGACCACCCAGAACATTGTGCCTTGCCTCCCTCAACTTCTAACCACTCTCTCCCATTCCAGCCAATCAGATTCCCACTTACTTGACCAGTATTTCTGATGACTGGGTCTGCAGGAGAATGTTCAAGTATGTACACCGACTCACCATCTTTCGTGCTTCCTTCATCAGACTACAAAAGAGGAGATGGAATTAGAAATATAGCAGTCTCATTCATTCTTCATTCAAGCAGAGTCTTGCTTATGTAGCCCAGACAGGCTTGCATTCACAATTCTCCTTCCTCAGCCAATCAAGTGTGGGATTACAAAGTATGCACCACCACACTCAGCAAGTTTCCTCCTATAGAGTACCTACAGACCTTACATGACAGGGTCTTTACTCCAGAGAGGGGAAGTCACCAGACCTCCAGAAGGGTGACATGGTTCTCTAGGGACATGAAAATCCATGTAGGGAGAAAGGTTACCAATGAGGCAATCGAGTCTTTGATCTGGAAGGGGAGCACTGCCCCTTCTCTAATGCACTTGACACACCTGATTTGCCCCTTCTCTCAGGCACTTGACACACCTGATTTGATTCTGGATACAGTCCACTTAAGACTAAACTAGCCTCATTTGCTTTTTCTTGGGAAATCTGACATTTTGGATAGGTGAGCATGACACCCACAAGAACCAAGAATTCAGGCTCTCTTGTTCTCTTTGCAAAGTGTGACTTCTTTGGGACGGTTGCGTGTTCAAATCTGTAGCTTTCGTGTGGCTAGAAACCAAGGAATCATCTTTTTCTATTGCTTATTCTAGTATCAATGCATTCTCCTCCATTACTGTATCTCTCCTTCCTCTCCAGAATAGTCAGTTCTGCTGCCTCGATTGTAGCCATATCACAACAAAGTATGCTCTACTCACAGTGAATAAATACAAAGTGTATTGGACTCACCTGAAGATCTTAGCAATCCCATCCACACTCTTCACTTCCCCATCTCGGTTAAGGAAGCTATCCAAGCCCTTGAGAAGTTCTTTAGGGTCTATGGGACCCGAACCCATGATTATGGTTTCTGAAAGACAAAACAAACCCACAGAATAAATGGGCAGCAAAGGCAGTCCTTTAATAAATCCCATCAGTTTTTGACAAAAATTAGTAACTAATCCACATTAATTGACATTATTTTCTAGATAAGTGAATAGATCATGATCACTGACGAAACCAGACAAGACTGGGAAGACAATTAGGAGTAAAGGACCAAGCAGCCCAACCTGGTTCTCACTCCCAGCTACATCCTCCTAGGGAAGCTGAACTTATTATTTATGTCCATTATATCTGTACACTATGACAGTTAAGATCCCGGTACCCATAACAAGATGTGCAGTGCTACTAGATATTTATTTTTGCTTGTTAAGCTCTTCTCCCTTAGTTGCTAACAAATTTACTCTGAAAAAGATCCTGTAGCTTGGATAAGAATTGGGCCAATCTTGGATGTTTGGGCTAATGTCTTATAAAAATTCCTTTCCATTGTAGCCTTTAAGAGCCACCATCACTGTTAAGTGGCAGGTAAGTGTAAGCTGAGGCAGAAGCTGAGAAAACGAAAACTAGGTCCTCCTCAACCCTGATGTTATTCTTTGACCAAACACTGCATTGTGTTTTTATTTCAAAGAGCAAGTTTGTGTTCTCAGAAGGGGAGAGAGGAGTCTGGCCCCTTCCTTCAAAAAACACACTAGCCCAAGATTCCCAAGAGAAGCCTATACCTAAATATTATAGAACAAAGCTAAAGACCAGAAAAAAAAAATGCTATGAATTTTTTTTTTTTGGACTGGGTTGGCAAAAGGGGTTAATTAAAAGTTAAAACTCCATTTATAGACAGGATAAAATGAGGCAAATTATTCAGGATCAAGATGGCTGTCTCAGGGATTTGTATTCACACAGGCTTCTGGGGACAAAAGCCCCATCAGCAGTATTTGCATTAGGGTGACAGCTAATGCTGAGTGGGAAAGAAGACAACTTTCTGAATCCTAGCACAAGATGACAGATACAACCCTAGCAGGAAGATGAAAAGTACTTTACTAAGATGACTATTTTAGAAAAAATTTTTGTAGGATGAAAATTGTGTTTTCTGACAAACCAAAGAGAAAAAAAAAGTAAAACAATATCAATCTTTCAGGTTTCCTGACGAAAAGGTTAATTTCTAAAACCCAGGCAAGCAGCAGCAGCCAGGAGCCAGCACCCAGCAAGGCAGGGGTTGTCAGACAATCAATCTTGGTTCTCGAAAGTATCAGGTTCCTGCAGGCTGAATATGGAGAGGCAATTCAGTGAGAAATGCTAAGAGATGAGCAAAAATGACTTGACTAAACATGAAGATGTGATCAGAAATACTAGGAGACTGCTAGGTACACATGGCTCATGCCTATAATCCTAGCTACTCAGGAGGCTTTGATCTGAAAATCCTGATTCAAAGCCAGGCTGGGCAGAAAGTCCATGAGACTCTTAGCTCCAATTAACTATCAAAAAATCTAGAACTAGAGCTGGTGTTACAGTGGTACAGTTCAAGCCTGGAGTAAAAAAGCTCAGGGACAGCACCCAGGCCCTGAGTTCAGGCCCCAAGATTAGCAACAAAAGTGAAAAAGTAAAAAAAGAAATGTTAAAAGGTGAGCAAAAACGACTTTCTAAACTGTGTTGTCACTGCTGCCCTGGAACTCCCAGAAGTGGAACCTGAGGTCAGAGGGGAAAAATATTCAAGGAGATTAGAGTTCATGGCTAAATCCACTGAAACAGAATCATTTTTAAAGAGACAAACAGGAATAAAGGAACTTTTTCCTTGTAAAAAGACCCTAGAGAGTGATAATATGGAAACTATAAAGATAGGTAAACAGATGTCGGAATATGTCAGAAACTAAAAAAGCAATGAATGGGCCAAGTAATAAATCTCATAAGCAATCAAGAAACTAAAAGGAATTCAAAAAAACTATGTATATGCACATATACCTAGCAGTAGATCCCAAACCAAAATATATCTAATTTTAGACAAAAAAGCCTTAATTATTTCAAACTCTGAACACTGTTGACTCCATTGATTCAAACACAGAGGTAAATAAATGACTTGAACTCCCCTTATCACATCCAATTAAGAATGAATAGGCCTTTTACCCTCTGCCAGGAATTCAGATCATCCTTAAGAGGAAGAAGGGAGAGAAAAGCCATTCTTAGGGAGGAAAACACAAAGACTAGGAAGCTACATTGTGTCCAGTGCCCTCTACTGGAAGTGGGACCCAGGTGCTTTTGAATTCCCATTTGTATAAACAAGCAAGCTACTTAAGCAAGCTAGGAGAGAAAACAGAAGAAATGTTAAGAGTATTTGTTTTCCACTATTATATTTTGGAAAGGCAATTAAATTCCTGTCTTATGAGTACCAATTATGATAAAAATGTCAGGTGGGATTTCTTAGTGGCTTTCTCTCAGGCAGCTTTTTAATCATTTGAAATTAAGAACTCCTAGTCCTCTTTGTAGTAAGTACATATTGAAAGTTCTAAGGTATTTTGAGTAGAAACAGCCTAACATTCCTGAACAGGTCGGCAGCAAAGGCAAATGTGTTGACCAGGGAAGCAGAGACCAAATGTCAAAACATCACTAGATACTCATGATCTGGATCCTGAAATAAAGCGTGGAGAAGCTTCCTAGAACCACAAATAGTCCAAGGCATGGCTATTTTTTCTTTTAATGAGCTGCTAATTTCCTTAAAGACAGCACATCTACAAAAGGGGGTCATAAACAGGCCCTCAGTCTACCACTTTGTTATAAACTAAGCCTCTTGATAGAGGACGTTAAGGTTAGAGCAATGCACTACTGACCCAAGGTACCCGGAAACTTCCTATTGTCCTTACAAAGAGTATTTTTACTCCTGACTCCAAAATGAATTTTACATGAGGGTTATTTGGTTTAAAAATATGGAAAAAAATCCATTTTGGCTATCAAGGAAAATGAACTGGCTCAGAAAAAGAAAAACCCACACAAGCCAGTTTTAATATCTTCAAAGAGGAAAAAAAAAACCCACCACATTTATCTTAGCTTAAAAGTCCTTAGCACTTCTGGAAATGAAAATGCTTTGCTTCCTTTCCTCCGTGCTTTTACACATAATAACCCAAGAGTGGGCTTAACTATACTTCTCTGGTGTTATCTTTCTTCTAAATTGTTTTAAGCCCTTGTCAGTTTTGTACATGACATCTCCAAAAGCTTATCTGGATTTCAATAAGGATGTAAAAATCACTTATATCATCCTTATCCATAGGAAAAGAACCCAGAAAACTTTGTTCAGATTACAAAGATGAAGTTCTCCAAGGTTCTCTGGACGGCTCTGGTTCCCCTAGAAAACCTTCCTTGTAATCTCCCATTACAAAGGAAGATCTTTATTAGGGCCCTTGCTCACTAGCAACCAGGTAGCCCAGTAGGTGGGATGCTCAACTTCCCAGGTATGTTTAAGAATGCTGCAGAGGCTCGTGGAAAACTACTTAAAAGACATTTCCCAAAAGAAAAAAAAAAAAAAGGAAAAAGAATTGTGGTCAATAGAAATGAAGAGGCTTTCCCATCCAATCTAGATATTTGAGAACCTGTACAGAGCAGAACACTAGCCCTGTTGTACCCAAGTCATCATAGGAAAGTTGCAGAGAAAGGCTTTCAAATTCTGCCTGGCAACCCGTCTCCCAGCTTTGATGCGTGATTTTAAAAAAAATCTGTTAAAGATCTGATTGAGGAAGCTGGAGGGGAGGAAGGGAAGGGAAGGAAAAGAACCAGACACCCAATACCACCCTCAGGGCATGGCTTTCAACATGCACCAATAGCCACAGCACTAAACAAGTAGAAAAAAAATGAGGAGGGCATTATTTCTTTCATCAGTACTTTCAAGGAATTTCTTTTAGAGAGGAAAAAGAAATTCAAAAAAGGTGGCTCCTTAGAAAAAAAGAAATGAAGATTGTGAAATGTAATACCAGAAATGTTTTGCTTACCAGAAACCGTAGCTTGATTCCCCCTGCCTCGAGTTTACAACTGCCGCCTCCTTTCCTAAAAGATTCACTTCTCATCCTAGTACCAGTGTACAGGAACTAAGCAATTGGAGAACTTAATATGGCATTGAATAAAAAGTTTATCCCCCAATTCTGAAGTGGGAACATAGGTGACTTAGGCAGTCCTAAAAGTACCCACCCTTCCCCCAGCTTACAAAGCAATTCCCTGAAGGAGGCCCAAGGACTAGATTCTTAGCAGCAATGGTACATTTCAGCCTCATTAGGCCAACTGTCTATTCAAGTTACAGCCCTCTTTTCTATCTCCCCCAACACACCCACACATACACCTCTCATTCTCAAAGTACAGTTGAGGCTTGACTGTTTTTTCACTGAAGAGGGATAAACTTCCAAGCAGTTGTGGTGAGTGCAGGGTGAAAATAAAACTAGAGCTACCCAAGGAGACAGGCAGCGTTTATATCTTATTCCTATAGGCTTTTTATCCCTGTAAGGTAAATACCTTAAGATAGTAAACTAAAGAATACAGGAACATAAGAAAAATGTCTTCTCCCTAGCAACACCGGGCACAGGGAGTTCAGGATGATTCTGCTAGGGGGTGGAGTTTCCAGAGGGTGGAGAGAGGAAGAAGCAAGCTGATTACATCACCTTCCAGTGCTGCTGCTCCTCCCCCTAAGCCAAGTTTCTAGGGCGGCCCTAAGCGCTGGATGGCAAAAGGGAGAGAAAAACAACAAAGGCGGAGGGAGACGCCATTTTGTAATGCAGAAGAGGACTCAATTAAAAAAGCTACTCCGTCTTTGCCGATAGCTTTGCTTACATTGTTAAACACGTTTTAAAAGGAAAAAAAATAAAGCAAAAAAAAAACCAAAACAGAAGCCAATCCCGATCCTGAATCTTTAACCTAATTTGAATCAGTAAGAACGTAGTGAAAATTAAAAGCAATTAAAATATTTAAAAGAACAATTTCTGCGGGTAAGAATGGAATTTGCAACTGAAGTCCAATTTGTTACCATCGACCACCCCCATCCTCCCTATAAAGGGAAAAGGGGGAGGACTTGGACCCCTCTCAACGAATAGGGTTGAGGTGGGAGGACAGGAGAAAAATGGGTCAAGACACAACCTGCAACGCCGCTTGGAAGACAAAAGGACAAGGAAAGTCGCCATATTGAAGCAGGGAAGAAAAAAATTGCTTTAACGACACAAATCTTTTAGAAAGCTAGCATTCAATTGCACTAAATGGCTTTTAACTTTATACTCCTGAACCCCACACCCCCCAACCTCCCCATTATCACTGTATCCCCCCCCACCATAAAGTACCAAGTTAAATTGTTAAATCATTTTTGCTTTTAAATAACCTATGCAATCTGCAACAATTACAAGACATTCTTTACCTCCCCAACTATTTTGTATGTACTGATACTAAGATTATATTGTCCTAAATTTAAGTGTCTTGCAATCTTTATTTCTAGATTGCCACGTATTTTAACCATACAATATACCCCCCAAGCAAATTACTTTAAAATAGAGAGGATTTAACAATCACTTAATTCATAGCCAGCTAACACTTCTGCCCATCTCCTTACCCTGCAATCTTTATGTACAGATTGCTTATTAATCTGGCAAATTGAAAGGCACCCTACTTGTCTCACACACAAAGAAGTGGGACTTATGGGCCACAAGATCCACCATCTTTTGTATGTGAGCTCATTAACCCTTTTGTAGACTGCTAACCAGAGGAAGGTAAACTTTCCTCCTTATAAAAAGCAAAACACTTATGCTTTGGCAGTCTGAAAATTTTCTGGATTACCAAGGGTTAACCATCAAAATCCTCACTTACTGGCCCTCCCACCACCCTCTCCTTGCCACCAGCAGGGCAGGGAAGAAGGTGGTAAGGGAGAACTATACTGTTGAGACCCAAAGGCCCTTTTTTAATGGAGATTAAGCGACCTGATTGGTCCTTCTCCAGTTCTATATTTGTTCTATGGTCTCATTTCTTCCTCTCATTAGTTTGGTTTCACAACGGGAAACGTTGATTTCTTGTTGCAAGGCTGGTTTTTGAAAATTCGACACTTACTATCCAATTTTTTTGCGACGTCAGCACCTCGGGCTCAGGGGGGGAGGGGGTAAAATTTTGGAGGAAAAAAAATAAAACAACCAACCAGGACCCAAAACTCAATTATTTGGGGGGTCTCATTGGATCAAAAAGTCTCTTAAAAAGTAAAGACCAACTCAGTATTCATTTTCCCCCCCACCCAACTCCGCATTTAGGGAGGGGGGTCGTAGAAAAAAATGCTGAGTGGATTAAAAAAAAAGGAAACGCTGGATGAGTGAAATTGAGTGGGTTTAGGAAGGGAGGGTGGTTGATTATTTTTGAAGTTATGTGGTGACGGTCCTTCGGCCACAGATTTCAAGTCCCAAGCAGCGTGGGCTGGTGGGGTGGGCAAGATAGGAGGAGGGAAGGGGCAGAAGACACAGTGGTTGGGCTGGTGGCGGCTGTTTTCCCTTTCCCCCCTCTCTCAGGATCCTTTGAAGGGCTTAGATGTTGCTGCGGCTTGTTTCTGTTTTCCTCGTGGCCAACCTCGTGGTCTTTCTCCGAGAAAATTCAACCTGGGATAGAAGGAACACAAGGGAGAAAGAGGTGATCAGTACGGGACGCTTTAAAATACCCTCAAATGCCACCTTTGTGGTCCAAAAAGACATCTCTAAGCCCCAAACAGGTCATAGCCGCTTAAGATACGCTGTGGCCCCCTCCCAGATCCTTCCTAACCCGCTTCCCAGGCCAACACGATCCGCGAAATCTTACGCCCTAAACGGCAAGATGGCAAACTTACCTCTAAACGAACACCAGAATGGCGGCTGCCCTCTCGGGCGGAGTCTTTTATATCCGGACTCCACCCAACGCACTCAAACGTGCTATTGAAACGCCCTTGTCGCGAGACATTGTGCGCGAGGCGTGAACTTATTGGCTAATGTGAAATACACCTCGGCCGCTGATTGGCTATCCTTCCTTTCGCTAAGGGCAACTCCTCGGCACTAACTTCCTCCTTCTTCCCGGCCGCCGCCCGGTTGCGAGCGCATGATCAGAAAATCTAACTCCGCCTTTTCCTCTGTGTCCTCCACTTCCGCCCAGGCAAACATTTCTCACCCTGGATTGGTAGAAATCCGAGGGCGCATGCGCACTGGAAGGATCGTGCTCAAAATCGCTTTCAAAATTTCTTCCAAGGCATACTATATGTATAGACTCTATGATTCGTGGTGACTGGTCCCAAAAAAAGTAATTTTGAAGCCTAATTCGATTGTGACGCAGTTGAAATTAGCTCCCCACCCCCTCTTACGGCTTCCCTTTTACGCTTCCGTACTGACGCAAACACGCAGCCCTCTTCCGCATTGCGGGATTAGTTTTGGCCCTCCCCTTGTCATTTTCTTGGCGCATGCGCAATCGCTCTCCCGGGCATTTCTATTCTGGGCGGACGTCAAGATGGCAGCTTCCGTATTGAACACGCTATGGGGGCGGTTTCCTAGGCTTTTACGGTTCCAAAGTGCTTACGGAGTTCAGGTAACTCCTTGGAAGATCTTATTTTCAGAATCCCAATTTAGTGATGCTTTCTCTGTGTCTCTCCACTTCCCTGAATCCACGGGCAGAGACTTTTCCCCCGAGCTTAGGTTTTAGCTGGACATTTCCTGACCACCACCCCTTGTCCCGTACGGCCCGCGTATTCTCATTCTCTATGCCTGAGAATCAAAGTTATGACTTCCCAAAATGCCACCTCGATAAAATAATTACCAAGGTGGGATTATTAACCCCTTGGATATAAGCAGCCGTAAACTATAATACTATGCAAAATTATGATGCCTGCCCTTGAGTGTTCTTGAATTTAAAGGATCTTAATTTTTACCACCTCTTGCTATCCTCGAGGAATTGTAGCCAAGATATATGTCGCCAGAATATAGGACTTGGGGATCCGTTTCTTATAAGAGCATGCAGGGGCGATTAATTCTGTCCTTAAGGTTGAGGTTTCCCTCCAGACTCAGGTACTCACCACCTTGGAGGTTCTTGGCAGTGCAGGGCGAGATAGGAAGGCTTGCTTAGCTGCCATTCCCTAAAGTAGATTTGAAAAGTACTGATCGAAGTCACCACAGAATTAATAACAGGCTTGGTAGCTTTAAAACGAGCGTTAGGACTCAATTTTGTTTTGTTCTATGGAATGTCGACCTTCAACTTTATATAAAACTGAACAACTCAGTGATTAGGGATTGCCCTGTGCCACCATACATCTTAGTTCCCCTTCCACCAGATTCAGTTCATTCCCCTAAAGCACAATAGATTTTGTGTGCCAGGTTTTTTAATTGTCTTCTCTAATAAGATTGTTCTCCATCCACTTATTCCTGGTTATCCCTTTACCTGTAGCTTATTGCTACTCATTGGAGAATGAGTGTTGATTTGTCAGGTTAACACCCACAAAGTAATACCTTCTATATTTCTGCTAAGTTACATTAATAAACTGGACACACGTTCCTCATCTCCCCAAAGTGCAAACAAAACAATTAAATCTTTTTCTTCAACTCATCCTCTCCTTTTTTTTCCCCTTCCTTTGTAGGTTCCCTTCCAGACTCTTTGCACCAAAGCCTCCACTGAAAAAGATTCTTTGCCTTCACTTCCTATTTCTCCCTATGAAAATGAACCCTGGAAATATCTGGAATCAAAAGGTACACCTAATTGGGGAAGAGAGAGGATCAGATGAGGTCTGAAGTAAATGGATAGATACCTCCTTTACTCCCACCCTGATATAACTTGTCTGATTTTTTTTTTTTTTAATTTCAGAATATGAGAATCGCTATGGTTCTCACCCTGTCTGGGCTGATTATCGCCGCAATCACAAAGGTGGTGTACCCCCACAGTGGACTCGAAAAACATGTATTGTGAGTTTTTGAGGGTAACACCTGGGTGGGGTGTGGAGTAAGGCATAAAGCCCTAGTGACAGTAACAACAGCACTTTTTTTTGGACAAGGTTTTTGGCTATCTTTAACTGCTAATTTCTTCTCTACAGCGTAAGAATAAAGTTGCTGGAAATCCTTGCCCCATCTGCCGGGATCACAAATTACACATTGACTTTAGGGTAAGGAGAACATTTTATCCAGAGAATGGATTTGGACTTAGAGTGCCTTTATAATGTTAAAGATATTATTGTAGGTGCCCCACATGTTTTTATATTCGGGTACCCTTATTATTATTTTCTTTTTGCCAGTATTGGGGCTTGACCTCTGGGCTTGGGCACTGTCCTTGAACTCCTTTTGCATAATTTAGCACTCTACCATTTGAGGCATAATACTACTTCTGGCTTTCCTATGGTTAATTAGAGATAAGTGTCTCATGGACTTTTCTGCCCCTGCTGTCTTCAAACTGAGACCCTCAGTCTCCTAAGTAGCTAAGATTATAGGTGTAAGCCACTGGTGCCCCTTTTTCTTTGTGTGTGTGTGT